CCTCAACTGCCAGTCTCTTCTGTTTCGAAGACTTATTGTAGTACAACTAAGCTAAATGGTCTAGCATCTAGTTCACTGTTTACTTGTATCACTTTAGACAAGTCCAATAATGCTGAGTCTAACTATTTTGGTGATGATTGTAGTTCTTTTGTTGCACATAAATCTACATCTGATGTGTCTATTAAATCAGATGCATCAGCTTGTAATGTCAATACACCTTACTCAAGTACTTGTACTTCAGATTTTCTTAATAAAAACTTGGATTTTTCTGCTTGTATAAATGACAACTCTTCATTGTTACATCATAACAATACTGATTGCTCACAAACATCTGATAATTTTAAACGTAGCACTATTGTGCATGTGAATAATTGCTTGCATTTTACTTCAGCATTGGCCACTCACACTAATTCTCCTCATGACTCTGCTTTTATGACTGGCATAATAGACTAGGTCACCCACATGCTGAAATCCCTTAGAAAATTCTCCTAAAAATACCTAGCTTATCAGTGTCTAGAAATAAATCCTCTATTTCTTTTTGTGATTCTTGTCAATTAGGAAAACTTCATAAAAACCATTTCCCTATCTCACATTCAAGAGCTACAGCTCCACTAGAACTTATTCATAGTGATATTTGGGGGCCTGCCCCAGTGTTATCCTTAGAGGGTTTTAGATATTACGTACAATTCATTGATGACTTTAGTCTATTTACCTAGCTCTTACCATTAAGAACCAAAGCTGAAGTAGCTTCTGTTTTCATCAAGTTTCATCACCTAGTAGAAAGACAATTTAATCAAAACTTAAGTGTCTACAATCTGACCAAGGGAGTGAATATAGAGGCCTAATTTCCTACTTAACAACTGCTGGAATTCAGTTTAGACACTCTTATGCTTATGTTCACCAAAAAAATGGTAGAAGTGAGAGGAAACATAGGCATGTAGTTGAGACAGGCTTGACTTTGTTAACTCATGCATCCATGCCCATGCATCTTTGGTGGTGTGCATATGACATAATAGTTTTCTTAATAAATAGAATGCCCTCATCTGTGTTAAACTTTGTTTCAACTTATCAAGTCTTATTTGGTAGAGTCCCTCTTTATTCCTCCTTGAAAATTTTTGGTTGTGCATGTTTTCCTTATTTGCGTGACTTTAATCATCACAAATTTAGTTTCCATTCCTCAAAATGTGTTTTTATCGACTATAGTCTAGTTCACAAGGGCTATAAGTGTTTGTCTTCCAATGGAAAAATATTCATTACTCTAAATGTCAAATTCAATGAAAATGAGTTCCCTTATATGAGTATCTTTAAACCTTCAATTTCCTCTTCTTCACCTGCCACTGTCATAGAAGCCACCTTATCCACTTTTCCTTTTATCTCTCATTCACATCATTCACAACCTCCAATATCTAGGAATCATACTGTGTTAAATCATACTCTTGATCCTACATTCTCCAAACCTCATACTCAAGCTAAACACACAGATACATCTCCTCACATCAACTCAATTCCAGTTGAAGTCTCTCCTGCAACAACTGGTCCTATAATCAGTCCTTCACCAACTATTAGTAACTATAATTCTTCCATAACATTTGATATTCCTACTCCCTTACTATCCTCATCAGATTTACAACCTGCACCTTTAACACCATAGATGCCCAACTTGTTAATTCTTCTTCCTCCCCACATGTTGAAACTCTACTACCCTACCATCTTGAAGTTGATTTATCTTCATCACTGTTTCCTTCTTCCTCACAACCTTCTCCTTTCCCTACAAACACTCACCTTATGGTAATAAGAGCTAAAGCTGCCCACACTAAAACTGCCCTCCTTATATCCAATGAACCTTTTGTTCAACCTAAGCCTGTTTTAGTTAAAGATGCTTTAGTCAGATTTGAATGGAGAGCAACCATGAAGGCTAAATTTGATGCACTTGAAAGGAATCAAACTTGGACCCTTGTTCTAGCCACTGCTGATATGAACATAGTGGGGAATAAATGGGTATATAGAAGGAAATTTAATGCAGATGGCTCCCTTTAGAAGTATAAAGCTAGGCTTGTGGCCAAAGGATTCCAACAAACCCCTAGCCTAGACTACTTTGAGACATTCAGCCCTATTGTGAAGCCATCCACCATCAGAATTATCATCACACTTGCTGTTTCTAATGGATGGGAAATACAACAAATTGACATCAATAATGCCTTCGTAAATGGCACCTTTTGTGAAGCTATTTTCATGAAGCAACCAAAGGGCTTCCTTGACTCACATCTTCCTCACTTTGTATGCAAATTAAATAAAGCTCTTTATGGTCTCAAACAAGCACCTAGGGCTTAGTTTGACAAGTTGAAAGAAGCTCTTTAAGTAGAGGTTTTCTACATTCCATTTCAGACACTAGTTTGTTCACTTTGCATCATGATAGCCTTATGATCTATCTTCTCATATACGTAGATGATATCTTGATTACTGGTAGCCACACTCAGTTTATACATCAGTTAATTTAAGATTTGAACAACGAATTTTCTCTAAAAGCTCTTGGTAAAGTTGAGTATTTTCTTGGTATTGAAGCTTCTACACCGTAAGCAAACCAAATATATCTCAGATTTGCTGGCTAAAACAAAGATGTCTGAAGCTCATCCATGTCCTTCATAAATGGCTTTTGGCACTAAGCTAAGCTCCAATGATAGTGGGGTTTTTAAAAACCCCACTCTTTATAGAAGCACCATTGGTGCCTTGCAATATTTAACACTCACCATGCCTGACATAAGCTTCACTGTTAACAAGCTCAGTCAGTTCCTTCAAGCTCCTACTGAACTTCAATGGCAAGCTTGTAAACAGGTACTTAGATACCTCAAAGGCACTAAAGATCATGGTTTACTTTTCAAGCCAACAGCATCCCTAAGTGTTGAATGTTATACTGATGCTGATTGGGGTAGTAACCCTGATGATAGGTGTTCTACAAGTGGTTATTGTGTATATTTGGGGCTAAATCTCATTCAATGGAGCTCCAGAAAACAAAAGGTAGTAGCTTTATCATCTACAAAGGCTGAATACCGGGCTTTGGCTCAAACTGCAACTAAAATTGCTTGGCTTCAAAGCATATTTTTGGAACTGAAATTATCTTTTCATGACTCTGTTATTATATGGTGTGATAATCTTAGTGCATGAGCCTTGGCTACAAACCCAGTCTTCCATGCACGTACCAAGCATATTAAGCTGGATGCTCATTACATTCGGGACTAGGTTATTGCTAAAAAGTTGGTTGTGCAATATGTTCCTTCTCAATTACAGATTGCATATATACTCACCAAACCTTTATCCATCACTCAGTTCCAAGCTTTAAAGGCCAAATTGAATGTGGTTGATGTTAATAGCATACAGTAGCACTCAGCTAAGCTGAGTGTCAGATGAGATTGATTGATAGCCCCTCCCTCTTATTGAGTAACAATTGTTCTAAAAGCACAAAGGAAGCCAACTGCTCTCTACATGTTAGTACTTCCATAGTTATTAAAGCTGCAAGATAAATGCAGTTGATTTTTTTTTAAGGCATCTGTTTGTCATCAGTCATAATTGTTTAATTGTTTTAATCCGAAGAGGAGTAATCTCTTGATCAGTTTGTGAAGTTTGTGAATCAGAGAAAGAATAAATTTCCTACCTAGTCTGAGGGGGAATGTGAATTAAAGAAAGAATGAACTTCTTGCAGCAGCAACAGTTTTTGTTTAGTTAAAATGCAGCAAATTTTTAGCAGAATGAACTTCCTCCAGCAGCAACAGTTTTTGTTTTAGTTAAACTGTAGCAGATTTTTAGCAAAATGAACTTCCTGTAGCAACAACTAAAATGCAGCAAATTTTTAGCAAAATGAACTTCTTTGAGTAGCAACGGTTTTTGTTTAGCAGCAACAATTTTTGTTTTAGTTAAAATGCAGCAGATTTTTAATCTGCTTACAATTTAGAAAAATGCCTGAGATGTTTACTTATAGAGAGAATGTTGTTATGTATTGAAATGGCATGAGAAGTTGGAATTAGTGTAGTTTGGTTTGAGGGAGCATGCTGACCAAGGTTGACTTAGCTGGAAATGGCATGAGAAGTTGGATTCAGAGTAGTTTGGTTTAAGGGAGCATGTTGACCAAGGCTGACTTTTCTTTTTAAGGACAAAAGTGTAAAAAGGAGGAAATGATGTCGTTTCTCTCTTTACTTTCTATTTACTGTTCTTCTCTCTCGTTCACTTACTTCTTCATATAAAATTGAGCTCAATTATTTTGCACTTTACCAATCAAGTAATAACATAGTATTCTCTCTCAAATTTCTTCCGAAATTCTAATTTCCTCTAAGTTTCACATGGACTTACAAAAAGCTTACATAAATTTTGAGTTTATCTTATTGAATTGAAATGATTTTACATATGAATCAATGTAACCAAGGAATTATTGTTTGTATATACATTGTAAGAACAACATGCATGAAGAGTAGTGGAAATGAAGAATGAAAGCATGAAAGTTTAGATTCACAAAACCGATTTTCAAACAAAGCTTGGAAAAGAGATTCATACTCCTTTGCTTTGGATTGATGAAGATAAGACTCAAAATGATGAGACCTCCACAATTTAACACTACGTTGAGAGATTTAGAGAGTGGCTGTGGCTAGGGAGAGAGCTTTTAGTTTGTTTTTGAGTGAACAGGTGAATAATAAACTAAAATGCAACCTTTTGCATTTATATATACTTGGGCAATTTTGTAATTATTTGTTTTTCACTTCCAAGCCCCAATAAAATCTTATTTCAAAAGGAAGCCCNTAGGAGACTTTCTCATCGAAGACTTTACTATGTACTATAGTAACTTGAACCCGTGAAGACTCTTAAAATCTGAAAACTTGAGGTTTTGCATGTGCATGTATCACCCATTTCCTCCTATAAATTCCCATGCAAGAACTTCACAAATCCATCTCTCGCAATCAATTCTCTAGCTCTAAACTTTCAAAACCCTAAATTAAACTTTTCAAGTTTTGTCAATGGCTTCCAAGGCAGCTGTTACTTCAACTGCTTTCCTCCTCTTCAACACTCTGCTGATCTCCCTTATCCCTTCCTCATTAGCCACCGGAACTTGCCTTGTGTCGGTTACCGCTTTGGTTTCTGCATGTGTTAATTTTGTTTATTTTAAACCAAGGCCTACTTGTTGCAGTCTCCTTAACGGTTTGGCTCAAGTGGATGTTGGTGTATGCCTTTGCAATCTTCTTGGTCTCAGGATTCTGAAAATTGACATCACTGTGATATTAGGCTTAATTGCCGCTAGCTGCCCGAATGTTTATGTTCCCCCTAACTACTCATGCTATTGAAATCTACTCCATTTAGCATTATAAAAATACTAAGACAAAAAAAAAAGGCAAAGAACTCAGAAACAGAGAGTAAGAACAACTTTAAAAAATGAGCACCAATGCATTATTATTTATTTTTCACTGAAGAATCTGTCTTTTATGTCTACAATTTATAGAGAAAGCAAGTTAGGTGCTGTCCCTGTTGTCTGAAATCTCAGCCGCTCATTCTATATTATAGAGTTTTTACTCTAACCATTGGATTTATTTACGTTGATACAAGTTGCATAACTAATGGATAACAACTTATCAACTTGCATAATGAATGAATAACAACTTATCAACTTGCATAACAATATCAGCCGCAACTTGTCAACTTGTTCAACTGACTTTGATCCACTTGCAGTTTGTTTGAGAGAAATGCAACAAGCGTTGATATCTGAGAACAGAAATCTTTAACTACTTGAATTGAAGCTTGCTGTAGTTTACATCATCCCTCAAGCTGAAATCCAAGCATTCAATCCAAACGTGTTTTCTTAAAAGAAAAAAAAAATCATTTGTTCTCTTCCTGATCCTCCCTCAATTTTAAGTTTGCAACTTGCCTTGAACCTGATCGTCCCTCAAGCAAGAACGAGGAAGAGGGAGCAGAGGAAGTGTGACGCCCCACTTGAGGTACGTACTTAAGATTTGCTGTATTACTTAAATGTTCATTGATTCAGCTTCAATTGAGTTTGTATGTTGTCATGGTTGGTTGTTTGGCCTTTAATTTAAATGGTATGTTGAGTTGGTTGAGTGTTTGCCTTGAAATTGGTTGAGACTTGAGGAATTTTGAAGAACAGTCTTCGCCGCGGCGATGTTGGCTTTGTAATGGTAGTGTCGGCTCTGTAAGTTTTTGTTGGGCCGACAGAAATTGCTTCGCCGCGGTGACGGGATGACAGAAAAGTTTCTTGAGGTTTCTAGAGAATTCTCCATAGGGGTAAAATGACCTTTCTACCCCTAATTAGCAGGAAAAGAGGGGAGTAAAATGTAAGGAAATTTAATAGAGAATGTGTTAGAGATGAGGGTGTATTTGCAAAGAATTAAAGGGTAAAGATGGCATTTCTAAAAAAGAGTAAGGGCAACATGGGAAAGTTTGTATGTAAATTGAGCTAACAAAGGATTAAGTGTAGTAAACCCTTCATTTCACCCTTGTCCACCGCCATTCTCATTCTCTATTTTTTTTCCCATCCTCCATTCAATCTTCCAAGATTTCTACGGAGTTTTAGGGAACTTTTGGGTAATTTTTAGTAGAGATTTCATCTAAAGCATCCTAAGGTAAGGATTCTTGCTTTAGATATAAATTTGCTTATATTTGTATCTTGAAGTCTTATGGTTTTATTGTTTAAAGTTGTAGAGAAGGGACAAGGTACTAAGAAAAAGGAAAAGTGTTAGTGAAATCTCTCCATTACAAGGTAAGTAAATCCAACCTAAGTTGAGATTTAAGAATTCATTTGAGTAGAGATTGTGTATGTATGTGTATGTATTATGTTTGTTGAGATGAGATGAGATGAGATTAGTAGTTATGTATGATTATGGAATATGTTTGAGTATGAGAAGTGTTGAGCTTTTATGATGTTGAGTTGGGTTGATAAAAGTTGGAGAGAGTTTTGAGCAAACCTTATGGGAGTGAGTTTATTTGACAGGAATCTAGAGAGTATGTGGGAGTTTTCTCCCATTTTTGGATGATTAAAGAAAGGAGAATAGTTATAGTTAAAGTAGAGTTTTATATGCACATGAGTTGTATGAAGAAATGCTTGAGAAAGGCATGAGTAAGAGTAAAGAACCTTAATTATTGCTACATGGCATAATTGCATTTCATGAGTGCATTAATGAGCATGAATCATCCATATGCATTAATTATGCGTTAGAGAAAGAGTAGAAAAAGAGTAGAGTATTTTGAGTGTGAGCTTCTCTAAAAGAAAAGAGAAAAGAGAGTAGAGTAAGTTATGCGATGGGGAACCCATGAGTAATGGGTAGAGTATTCCCGCATGTACGTTGCAAAAAGAGAGAGAGCGGCTTGAGTATGAGAGAGAAAAGTGGTGTAGCCCGTGAGAGTACATGCGGATGAGGGCTATACCGAGAGTACCTGAGAGAGAGTTTATACACTCACATGGCCAAGGGTTCCGAATCCATGCATAACCGAGTCCGATCGGCTAGAACAAGTAGAAGTAACGGGGAGCGGGAGCGGGAGCGAGTCCCAACCGTGCCTCCGGTAAGATGGGGCCGTGACTTACAAAAGAGAGTTAGTAGAAAAGAGTTATGAGAAAGAGAAAATAGAAAGAAGTATAAGAGAGAGATTAAATAAGCATTGTAAGGAAAGAATTAGAGAGAGATTTACGGGGTTAGATGAACAGAGGATTTACTTACTGAGCATTGTTTTAGTGCTCACCCCGTTGTTTCTTATGTTTTGCAGGATCTAGGTGAGGACACAGTCAGATGGACGCCGGCAAGCAAGGGGAAGTGGTTACACTGTCCAGCATGTTTTTGATAACTTTTGTACATAATACAAATTTTGTGTAAAGAATGTATATGTTTAATAAAAGAAAAATTTGGGCCCAACTCTTTATACTATTTTATATGTATTTTATTATGTATATTTTTTGAGTATTTGAGTAGAAAGCAACTATTACATTTTTGGTATCAGAGCTGAGATTTTGGGATTTGACAGTGTACCATTCTTATCTCCACGACGTCCGATAGCCAACTGTGTAAGTTAATTCTTTCCTTACGTTAAGTGTTCTCTTGAATTGATCAAGTATGGTTGTTTTGTAGGTGAGGCGTAGTAACAGGAGGAAGGGTAAGAGTGTGATGAATGAGGGAGAATCCTTTAACCCACCAGAACCAACTCCCCCTACCCTTGATGAGACGAGGATTCGAACCATTGTACAACAGGTATTAGCGGAGGGTCAGGGGAGAGTTGTTCAGGAAAGAACCGAGACCCCCAGTAGAGTACCACCCACAAGACAAGAGCGAGAATGGTCAGTACCTCAGACAGTACAAACTCAGGTTAACCCGATTCAAGGGCTTGCAAACCAACACCAACTGCCAGAGTTTAGGGGTACTAAGGACCCGTTAGAGGCAGAGGAGTGGTTTAAGTCCGTAGAACGGATGGCGGCACTATTTCCTATGAATGATAGAGAGAGGATCAGATATGCCAGTTTCTTATTTAAGGGAGGTGCCCGAATTTGGTGGGAATTAATGGAGGAGACTCATGATATGGCCTCGATGACCTAGGAGGAATTCAGAAGATTGTTTGAGGTCGAGTACCAAACAAAAGATCGAATACATGAGAAGGTCCAAGAGTTTATTAATCTGAAGTAGGGGACTAGCACTGTGAAAGAATATTTAGTAAGGTTTAACTCCTTTGCTCACTTTGCACCTGGGATAGTGTATACACTGGAGTTAAGGAGAGATAAGTTTGTGCAAAGGTTTAGATCAGATATTGCTCGAGATGTAATGATAGGAGCCGAGCCCCCTCATACCTATAGTGAGGCTTTAACACGGGCTTTAAGGGCAGAGATCTATATAAACAAATACATTACAGAAGGGTTAGCTTTAACAGTATCTAGTGAGCCATCCACCACCTTACAGAGGGAGAGAGTAGATGCCACAAAGAATAGAGAAGTAAGGGCCAAGAAGAAGTTCCAACCAAGGAAGAATAGGAGAGATTGGCAGAACAAATGGCCCAGGACAGAAGGGTTTCCCCCTTGTGCTAAGTGCGGGAGGAACCATTCAAGAGAGTGTTTGAGGGACAGAAATGTGTGTTACAGGTGCTGATAGCCAGGGTATCTGATTAGGGATTGTAAAGCTCCTTTTCCACCAACAGCTTAGACCCCTAGAGGTACAAATGCCAGAGTATTTACAGTGGCATAGGGTGAGGCCGAGGCCAGTCCATCAACCGTAACTGGTAAGTTGTTATTTCATGTTGTTCCTTTATATACTTTAATTGATTATGGGGCTACTCATTCTTTTATATCTCATGGAATGATAGAGAGATTAAATTTGAAACCTACTAGAGTGAGTCAGCCCATTAAGATAGAGTTACCAGATGGAGTGAGTGTGCTGACTCAGGAGATGTTATTAGGAGAGTCCGTAGTGATCTAGGGTCTAGAGTTAACAGTTGACTTAATAGTTTTTAATATGCCCGACTTTGATGTGATATTAGGCATGGATTTCCTAGAGAGGTATGGAGTAGAAATTGATTGTCGGAAGAAGAAAGCGAGATTTAATCTCGATAGTGGAGATAAGTTTAGTTTTGGAGAGGGCCATCAGTTGAGCATGTTGATTAGTAGTGTAAAGGCTAGAAAGATGTTAAGAAATGGGTGTTCTGGATACATTGCTCATGTAGTACAGAGTGGTGATGTTCCACAGTCAGAAATTCAGAGGGTGCCGATAGTTCGAGAATTTTTAGATGTGATTCCGGAAGACTTACCAGGTTTGCCACCGAAAAGAGAGGTTGAGTTTAGTATTGAACTAGCACCAAGAACAATACCCATATCTAAAGCCCTTTACTGAATGGCCCCAGCAGACCTTTAGAAATTAAAAAAGCAACTCCAAGAGCTTTTAGATAAAGTCTTTATCCAACCGAGTCATTCTCCCTGGGGAGCCCCAATTCTATTTGTAAAGAAGAAGGACGGGTCACTACGGATGTGTATTGATTATAGAGAGCTGAATAAGGTGACAGTGAAGAATAAGTGCCCGTTACCTCGAATAGATGATTTGTTTGACCAGTTGAAGGGAGTAGCAGTATTCTCCAAGATTGATTTGAGGTCAGGGTACCATCAGGTAAGAGTGGATGAGCAGGATATAGCTAAGACTACTTTCCGTACAAGGTGTGGGCACTATGAGTTTGTAGTAATGCCGTTTGGCTTGATAAATGCCCCATCAATTTTTATGGATTTGATGAACCGAGTATTCCATGACTGTCTGGATTAGTTTATAGTGGTGTTCATTGATGATATTCTGGTTTATTCCAAATCGAGAGA